TACTCTTAGGTAACATTTTTTATTTTTATTTTTTACTTTTTAACTTTTTTGTTAAAAACTAAGATACAAACACATACATTAGCCTAGGCCTACACAGGGTCAGTATCATCAATATCACTATCTGCCACCTCCGCATCTTATCCCACTGGAAAGTCTTCAGGGGCAATAACACACATGGAGCTATCATCTTCTATGATAACGATGCCTCCTTCTGGAATACCTCCTGAAGGACCTGCCTGAGGCTGTGTTATAGTTAACTTTTTTTTTTTTAATAAGTAGAAGGAGTAGAATGGCTGGAGGGAGGCAGGGAAAAAAGAAAATGAAAAAAATAAGTAGAAGGAGTACATTCTAAAGCAGTGGTCCCCAACCTTTTTGGCATCAGGGACCAGTTTCATGGAAGATAATTTTTCCATGGACTGGGGGTGGGAGGGCAGGGATGGTTTTGGAATGATTCAAGTACGTTACATTTATTGTGCAGTCAGACCTCTCTACTAGTGATAATCTGTATTTGCAGCCACTCCCCAGCACTAACATCACCGCCTCAGCTCCACCTCAGATCATCAGGCATTAGATTCTCATAAAGAGTGCACAACCTAGATCCCTTGTGTGCACAGTTTACGGTAGGGTTCATGCTTCTATGAGAATCTAATGCCGCCGCTGATCTGACAGGAGGCAGAACTTATATGGTAATGCAAGCTATGGGGAGCAGCTGTAAATACAGATGAAGCTTCGCTCATTGACCTGCCATTCACATCCCAGTTCCTAACAGGCCATGGACCAGTACCAGTCTGTGGCCCAGGGGTTGGGGAATATAGCTCTAAAGTAACAATAAAAAGTATAGTGTAGTATATATATAAACCAGTAACATTGTTTATTATCATTATCGAGTATTATGTTACTGTGCATAATTGTATGTGCTATACTTTTATATAGCAGCACAGTAGGTTTGTTTCCACCAGCATCGCCCACAAAAATGACCAATGTCACTAGGGGATAGGAATTTTTCAGCTCCATTATAATTCTTATGGGACCTCCTTCGTATATGCAGTCCATTGTTGACCAAAACGTCATGTGGCGCATAATTGTAATCAGGGGTTGAGTTAGGAGCACAGAGAAGGGAACTATCAGCATTGCTGTCTTCTCATAAATTTATAGCATGTTCAGGGTTCTTTTTTATTTCATCACAACTATATCTGGTTGAAGTAAAGAGGAAACAAGGTTACTTTAGAGATAGAAAAAGAGACCCAGAAAGGTTATATGCCTCTCAGAGGCACGGTAAATCATTGCTACCAGAACAATAATTTAGGTCCCGAAATGACAGTTAATTTCCTTGGTAGACTAGGAAATTGCACATTTCCCTGAAATAATTCTAAGCAAGAATCTTTTCCTCATTTAAGTCATATCCTTTTCAAGCCTTCATGTTTTTCAAGCTCACAAACATGTGGAAACTCTCTTCCTGGTACTTGGCAAATAATGGGGTTACTGAAAGTAGATAACTGCTATACTGTATGGCCATTGTGGGCTCTGGGGACCCTACAGTGGTATGAGCTCTCCTCCAGGGAAGGGGACAGTAATATGGCAGCTCCCTGTACAGATCCCTGGGCAGCTTCTCTGCCTTGGGCCAAAGTTAGTAGATCAGGGATCAGGTGAAGCAGATTTCCTCTTTCGTGGCATAGACTCAACCCTGTGTTACCTCAAGCAACATTTGCAAGGCAAGAAGAGAAGTCTCCTAACATGCTGGAGATGCTAGAGGTCCAGGATTGTTTATTGAATTACTTCTGACAGTGCTCAGTGAGGGAAGAAATGCAGAGTGCATGCACCTGGCTTCTTGCTCGGAGTTGCCACTTGGCAATTATGGGGAATGATCACTGTTGATTCAGTTTTGTCCTGTGACCTACTCTCATTCATAGATAAGACTAATAGTAAATATCATTGTATCTCTGTATCCTGCAGTATTTAATAAGGCATTCTTTTTTCCTTTCTCATCCCTAGTTAAGTAGGTTTTTGGGGGCCAGGGACTGCTTGAAGAATTTGGTGAAAGCCAGTATGATGGTACCTGCTTATAGTACTAGCTACTCAAGAGCCTGAGGCAAGAAGGTTACTTGATCCCAGGAGTTCAAAGCTGTAGTGTGGTACGGTCGATCGCACCTGTGAATAGCCACTGCACTGGGGCCCGGGGAACATATTGAGACCTCATCTCTTTAGGGAAAAAAAAAAAAAAAAAAGCTTTGGTGAAAGCACTCTCTAAAAATACACACACTTAGAAAATTTTGCTTATAATTTTAAGGGGGTCATGACCCTCCCCACCAAAAGCTGATCTGTGAGTTGTAGATTGGAGTAAATAACCTTGACTGTCCATAATCATTTTGTTTGTTATCCAAAGAAATACTGTAATTTTTTTAACCTGTAGATAGATGTTTCACAGAAAATGTGTTTAATGTTCTTCTGCATTGATTAAAAATAGACACAGTATGCTTTAAATCAGAACACATATACATTATGTTTCAGAAAATTTTTATCAAAGCTTAAATTTTGTACAATAGTTGTCTAATATTTACTTTTTTCCCCTTTTAAAGCTTGGCAAAATGCGGCTGACAATTCCATGCCGGGCCCTTACGTGTTCTCATCTGCAGTGTTTTGATGCAACTCTGTATATTCAGATGAATGAGAAAAAGCCAACCTGGGTTTGTCCTGTCTGTGATAAGAAGGCTCCATATGAACACCTTATTATTGATGGGTATGTCACTTTAAAGATTTCCTTTGTACCTTGAAATGATGTGTTTTATCTGGGTTTGTTACCTATCTGGTTTGGGATAAAAATTCTATAGGTAGTGGTTTCTAAGTTACATATTTGTAGGATTTCTATGATTCTACAAATCAGTATTTCAAAGTAATTAATTTCAAATTAATGTTATAAATATTTTTCCTTTTTAACTTGATATCCCCTTACTTTGAAAATGCATGCTTTACTGTCAGTGCCTCCTGACATTTGTCATTTAAATGGTTCTAAGCAAGGTATGCTTATACCTTTTCCTAACATGCGGCCATCTGTCCCTAGATGTGCAGACCATATTGGAGAAGGACTGAAAGAACTGTGAAATTCTGATTAACTCAAGCTCATGAAAAATTGGGCTTCTTCTAAAAAGTACTTCTACTAAAAAGTAGAAGTTAGCCTGTTTCTGGAGATTAGATCAAGCTTCAGTCACGGTTCACCATACTACCTCTCCCATTGTAGGGCTCCTAAAACTGATCAATTCACGAATAGCAGCTTCCTTTGCTTTTCTGTTTCTTCTAAAATACTTATCTTCTTCTTCTTTTCTTTTTCACCTGCAGCATCGTAATAAGTAGTTATTTTTCTTAACACTCCTATTTTTTATCTATCCTACCAGACATCTTGGAATGTTCCTCTAAATTTTCCCCTATTCTGTAGCCTCCGTTTTTTTTTTCTTTTTGCCACCGAACAAAAATAAACTGTGAGAAGGAGCATATCTACTTAATATTTCCTGTACTTTCCAGCAAAATAGTATTTGAAAAAACATAGGAGTCTGAAGGTGGCAATATAAGAAATGGAATATATTTAGCAATACAAGTATAACCTAGAGCTTGAAAGATGTCAGACCAGGCATGGGGAAAAAATAAACTTGGAACTTAAATGTTTTATGTTTAATTTTTTAGAAATGACAATGATCACTAATAAATCTGAATTGAATAGTAATATTTTACCAGCTTTTCATGTTACATAGCTTTACAAAGCGTTCTCCCATTTCTTGTTATGAAACCCATAGACACAGCCTTTTAAAGAAAATTGGAAAATAAAAAGCTTTTGTTGGCATATAATTTTCTGGTTTTTGTTTTTACATAATTGTTATGATGCAGTGTTAATAATTTTTATCATTTGGTTTCATTCAACATTATAACCTAAAGATTTGACCATCTTTTGCATTTGACCAATGCATAATTTTATGCATTCTTTGTAAATATTTTTAAATATCTAATTCATTCCTGC